TAGAGACAAAGGGCCTGGGTCCGGCAGAGGGCCATCGCCTTAAAAATTAAGAATTATAAGATGAATTTTTCTAAAAAAAATTAGATTTATAATAATTATATTTTTTATTATAAATTTATATTAAAAAATAAAAATAAAAATTTAAATTATTAACTATTTGATTAATTTATTCATATGATAATATTACTTAAATGAATATTAACATTTATATTTTCTTATAAATTGATGACAAAAATATACCTTTAACTTTTAATATCATAAAGGTACATAATAACCAAAAAACGTTAAGGGTCTATTTAGAAACCTAAATTAAGGTGGAATGTATTTGAATTTAGAGTTTCAAATTCAAATACGCTATTTGCTTTTATTTAAATATGATGTCTTTAAATTTGATTTAAATATATGTATTTTTTTGGTACTAACTTTTGATATTTAAAAGTTATATTGAGTTTTAATTAATTTAAAATTGAGTTACATCAAACCATATAAGAGGAAACTCGTTCAACGCCTGTTTATCTATTTACATGATTAGAATTTGAAACTTTATTTATAAAAAATTAAATTCTTTTCACTTAGATCAACAGGTATAACACATGCTTAGTTCTGTGTATCATTGTCCAACCAAAATGGACTTGCTTTAATGATCTAATCCAAAAAAGAAACACCCATTGATCGAAATCAATATGAAGCACACATGCTATGAAAATGCATATATTAGTTGTCAACCAAATAATGTACTCTACCCAAAACAATGCATGGCTCAAATTAGCATTGTAGACCTAAATGCATACTGGGGTTGGGGACATTAGGGGTCAATTGGTAGAATTTGTGTTCATAACGTCTCTAGCACATACCTAATTGATTTAATTACCTAATTGATTTAATATAGATAATGACTTGATACATATAGCAAAAGGCAACTAGGCCTTCATATCCTTTTCTATGGTTTTTAACCTTCAAATTAATATTTCTTTCCTAGTACAAATTAGAGAATCAAATTTTTAATCTTTGTTAAAACTAGAGAAAGATTCACTCGAAATGTAATCTTTTTTACACGCAACTTCTAACCATTTTCAAGGATTTCTTCAAAAGAAAGGAAAGGAAACATTAAAACTCAAACTTTATTTAATTTCTTTAACTTTGATCTTCTCTCTTTCCAAATAACAAACGAAGAGAAATTATTTTCATCTTATCTTCAATCATATTGAAGAACTCAACATTTTTCTTTAAAATACCATGATTTGATTTTTTTTTTTCTATCAAAAAGTGAAAGCTAAAACCCATTATTAGTTTAATAATTCTTTAGATCAAGATCCACAAACTCTCAAAAAGTCAAGTTTAGATTATTAATAGTAATTACTTTTTATATTATATATCAAATTCACTCACATTTCATCACGCATATGGGATTTGGAATTCAGGGTATTAAAATAAGATATTAGTTTCTACTATTCAAGCCCAAAAGAAGGCTTGCCCAACAAATTTTGCTTTCGCTCGGTAGCCTTGTGCATAAAAGTGGCAAAAACTTACTTTTAGTCATTTATCTTAACAAATTTATAAGTTTTAGTCATCTACCTTATATTATAACACTTTTAACCATTTATCTTAATAAGTTTATAGGTTTAGTCCCTTACCTTATACTATAACACTTTTAATCTCTCACCTATATAAATTGAAGAAAATAATCTCAGTTAACATCAGATTATAATGTTCTATTGATTCTATTAACCGACCGTTAACATCTATCAACATTCCATTACAGAAAACATGAAATTTAAATTTAATTTAATTTGTTAATTCCGTTAACGTAATGCTAATGAAAGGCTAATAGTTAAGTAACAAAACTAACAGAATATTATAATCTGATTTTAAGTAATGATTATTTTCTTTAATTTATATATCTGAAGGGTTAAAAATATCATATTATAAAGTGATGGATTAAAACCTATAAATTTATTAAGATAAATGATTAAAAATGTTATAATATTAAGGTCAAGGATTAAAACATATAAATTTATTAAGGTAAAAAACTAAAAATAAGTTTTAACCCTTAAAAGCAATAATGAATTAAATGTTTTTGTGAATATAAATTTGTTTAAATGCCCTTATCTGTTAATGAAATTTCTAATAAAAATATGACAAAAACCTTTCTTAAGCTTTTAGATTTATCCTAAAATAGTATTCAAGTCCCTAAACTAAAAATAAAACAAATAAACCCTCAAACTCCACTAATAATGCAAATAACCCTTCTTAGAAATGGGCCAAATGATATTTCATAATTAATATCACCCTTGAAAGCATGAACACAATAAATGAGAAGGATTTATTTGTATCATTAGTGAAATTAGATGGTTTATCTGTTTTATTTTTAATTTATGAACTTAAGCACTATTTTGAGATAAATTTGAGAGCTTAAGAGGTTTTTTACCCAAAAATTTTGCTTCTCATACGGAACTTCTTTTGTATCGTGAGGATGACATGATGGGAACCTGTTTCCCCAGGCCATGGTGTACTATCTGCGTGCTATTTAATATGTATTTCTTCCCTTTTCACCCCAAAAATAAAAATATTGTTTTTTTACTGCTATCTACAGTGATGGAGTGTGGTCGGTTGCATAGAGCCATGATGGAAATGTAGGAACATTGTAGGTGTCTTTACTAGGGTGGTAGATCCTATTCATGTGGAAGCATGGGTTTTAATTTGTGAGGGATAGAGGTGACATGCTGAATATAATCCTTGATTCTAATTTATTAGTAATGATGACAGCCCTCAGTTGTTAATTATTGGCTTGGTGTTACGAGGAATGAAAATGACTACACAAGAGCTTACCTAATGGTTTTTTATTTTTTCATTTTAAGAGGAAGTTTAATAAGATTTTTTAGTTACTGTTATAAGGTATATTTCTCTTTTTATTAGTTATTGTGGTATTTGCCTTCCTTACATTTTGTGCTTAATTGTTTGTTCTTAATATGAGCTAACTTCCAACTGTTCGATGATTGTAATGAAATTTTTAGAGTTGAGTATCAAAGAAAACAAACAATGAAATTCAATTTTTAATTTATAAAATTTTAATATAAATTTAAAATATATATATTTAAAATACACACTTTACATTCGAATTCTCATTTTCAAATGCAACATGAGAGAATTAGGTCCAACACTTGCGAGTTAGAGAAAGGAAAATCTAGAAGTACCCAACTCTAGGTTCAAAAACTGAATAAATAGAAGTCCGAGTCCTAAATTTATGGACCTTTTAGTTAAAGTTCTATATTCTATTTCATTTCATATTCCATTTCTTAATTCTCTTCTATAATACCACCCTCTAGAGTCTACTTAAGTAATTAAATAATGTATGTGATAACGAAGTTAACAGCCTAAAACCCTTTTAGTTCAATTTAGTCTATTGTCTCAAATTCTATCCTATTACCTCAAGCTCGTCCGAAAGAAAATAAGTATCTTCAAAAATTAAGAGCTGCAATAATTCCTAATTTTCTTATTATCATAACCATAAAATTTTCATTAAATACGAAATGAGACTTTTATTACTCTATTTTATATAGAATCTAGAGAAATTACAAACTTTCCTTAAATATCAGGGGTTCCGTAAAGGTTAAATGGCCAATTTAATTCATAAACTTTTAATTTTAAATAATTTTAGTCTCTAAATTTTTTTTGTGCTTTTTAATGCTCTCTTTTTTTTTTTTGTTTTCCTATTAAGTTTGTTCATTAAATCTGTATAGCTAGCTTTTTTTTGGTCTCAAACTTTTGTTTTATACACATTTTGTCCCTAAACTTATATTTATTACACATATTTAGTCCTAAACTTTTTATTTTATAAACATTCAAGCCATTAAAAGAAATTAAAAAAAAAAGAAAAGAAAAAAGAAAAAACACTAGTTGGATAGAATTAACAGCGAAAACTCATAGGAGGACCAAAAAAATGTATATTTTTCATAATTAAGAAATAAAAAAATGTAAAAATAATTTATAAACTAAAATTATTCAAAATTAAATACTTGGAGATCATATTCAGACATTTAACCTTCTATAAATAAAGATTTGTTTCGTCTCATTTAAAACAAGCCTTCTGTGCAGTGCCCAATAATAAAACCAAAGATATTGGACCAACCCATTAGAAATCCCCTTTTGAGACTTCTGGGCCTGAACATAAATCCTTGTCCAACTCCAAGACGCTTTCTACTTTCTACTTCTTTTTTCTTTTTCTTTTTTTATTTTTTTTTTATAAAAAAATTATTTATAAATGCCAAAATTCTAGAACTTTCTTTTGAGACTTCTGGGCCTGAACATAAATCCTTGTCCAACTCCAAGACGCTTTCTACTTTCTACTTCTTTTTTCTTTTTCTTTTTCTTTTTTTTTTTTATAAAAAAATTATTTATAAATGCCAAAATTCTAGAACTTTCTTTTCGCTCATTGGTTTACCTCTCCTGTAGCAAAGTACCCTAAGGCTGTGATTTGAGGTATGGCTACGCTAGATTCCGATGTTCCCATGGTCCCCGTCGGCGAGGCTTCCAGCAACGCCGCCCCTTCCTCCTCCACCAAGAAACCCAAACGTTTCGAGATCAAAAAGTGGAGTGCTGTCGCCCTCTGGGCCTGGGGTACGGAAACCCAAACCCTAACTCCCCCCCCCCCCCCCTTGCTTTTTCTATTGTGTATATGAGATTGTCTCTGTTCTAGGGTTTTGATTACTCGAGATTGGCTAATTTTGTTGATTTATGCAGATATTGTTGTCGATAACTGCGCAATTTGCAGGAATCATATCATGGATCTCTGTGAGTTTTTTTCTTGATCCTCTTAATTGTTGAATGATGAGATTTTCAGTGAGTTTTAGCGTGTGATTTTTGGGGTTTATGGGTTATCTGATTGCTTGCTTTATTGATTGTTGTTAGGCATTGAGTGCCAGGCCAACCAAGCCAGCGCTACAAGCGAGGAATGCACTGTTGCTTGGGGTATGTTTCTCCCTTACCTCTAGGAAGTCTCTATTGTTCATATGTATTAAGTCTGTTTTTATTTGCTTTGATCTCATGCCTTTATTTTTTGAGTAATTAGGAATGGTATGGTAGAATCTGGATGCAGGATCTTTCCTTTTATATATGGGTTTTTAATTCATAATTTTTAACTTATTGCATTTAGTTGACAGCTATCTGAGTTCCCCAACTCTGTATCATCCCACTAGGGCAGTTAAAAAGATTTCTTTGTTTTTGGGTTGCTGTTATTTTAGCTAGATTGTTGCTTCTTATCATTAGAAACTTTGTTCAAAGACTAGTAGCTTATTTGATTGGCATGTTATGAGGCCAATAAGCAAACATTCTTTTCTATACCAATCTGGCGCAAAACTTTTGATGATTGTTCAGATGGATAACAAGAAAGCACTGAATGCATCATAATGAAGTTGGGTTGTACATTAAGAAACAAAATTTTGAATCATCTTATCAATTAATGTTTTTTTCTTTGCTGTTTATAAATAGTTAGCTAAGCAATGGGGGACTTTGACAATTCACAATTGTAATCTCACATGCTTTGGCATATTGCATTTTAGCCTCATGGGATTGATCCAGCCGTGTCTTATTCCCAGGCTACAAAACTTCAACAAGTCAATGTTTGTAGTGATGGCACTGTCCTTTTTTGTGTTTGATTATTAAAATAACATAGTTTAGAGATTATAACTAACTGTCAGAGTGCTAGTATTTCACTTCCAAATGTATGATCTCTATGGTGTCCCTTTTTGTGGTAGTAGTGCATTGTAACTTTTTCCCTGCGGTGGCAGCTATTTTCAGCTCCTAGAAATATTGTCTGTGGTCTGTGTGTAACACCCAGACATGAATCTCTTATTTACATCATTTCTTATATCAAATTAAGAGTCATGTTACATCTATTTATTGTAGCAGCTGAACTCTCTGAGCAGACGTGTAATAGTGCATTTTTTGGATGAATGGTGGACTGATTGTAGTTCAAGATCTGTTGTCTTCTTGGGTTTTTATGAGCTACAATTCTGTTTGTTGAATCCTCTTTTTTTCAATTAATGTTAGGCAATTGTCAACTCTATTTGGATCACTATTTACTTTTTGAGTAGTTGATCTTTAAAAAAGAAATCCCAGTTGGTAGCATTGATGTATTTTTGTCAGTGTGATCTATGTCTGATCTTGGATCCTTCCTTTTGTATCTCTAGGGGTCTGCAACCATGCATTCCACTTCCACTGCATCAGCCGATGGCTCAAGACTCGTCAAGTGTGTCCACTGGGTATGTTTCTTATGTTCTTCCTTTCATTTTCAAGGGCTGCCATTTAACATATTTCTCACTGACTGGCATTTTCTTCTTTTGGGAATTGTTTAATTCTGCAGACAACAGCGAATGGGAGTTCCAGAAATATGGTCACTAGAATATCGGGTAGTTGAGAAAATTTACATTCCGTGGTCTATCATATTGTGACCTTAAGCATAAAGATTATTGCCCAGTTCAGTTCCAATTATCCAATTCTATTGCGATTCTTATTTTGATTAAATTGGGACGTATGCTTTAGGAATCAATATGTGAAGTTTAATGGGTTGAACGTTTTTTATTTAATCTTTTGATTGTAAGTTACTTCAATCCTATCATGCTTTCTTTAATGCAATCCAGCATAGAATAGTTATATTACTCTTGAGTGATCGCCCATTCCGCAGTGAATATGGTAGATCTTATTCGTGATTGTCTAAGCAGAATGCCTGCAAGTAATACAAGTTGAACAGAAATTGCTAAGGGTTAAGGTTAAATATGAACTTGGATCATAATTTTGCCTCTAAACACCTAAATGCTCTGCAGTAAGAATATAGGTCCTACCTGGTTCATCTGAATGGTGCAGAATTTACACCCTTACTCAAAACAAAAATGATCATGATGAATGGTTTATATAACGTACTTAAGTGGGGCAAATGCCTTTCCCAAAAGCTTGCCCTTCGTCCCTGCAGCTTAGTTGTAACAAGAATTTTGATGATGGGTCTCTTATCTATGATAGGGTTCGTGTCATATATCTGAAGAATTTCTCATTTAATATAAATAATTAAAGAATTCGGGGGAAAAACATCAATACTCTCTTTTTTGTTTCAAAATTTTGTTTTTCAATGTTGTCAAAAAGAGAAAAGAGAAAATTGAAAATCAAGACATCTAAGCATTTTAAATGTCGAGATCTTTTATAAAATTGTTTAAATACTCTTGGCATGTGTTTTTTTACATATTGATTTATTAAGGGAATTTTAATTTTTTTTATTATTGTTCCAAACATTTTAAATGTTAAAACGTTAATTTTTTTTTCATTTCTTGTCAAAATTCAAACTCTATTAAATATCAATGATTCATAACCATATGACCCTCAGGCCTCAACTCGTGCAGTTAGATCTAACTTAGAAACCCGTAATATGAGTTGTTTATAGTACTATAGTCTTTTCTAACACAAAAACCCAACTTGTTTGAGTTGTGACTTGAAGTTATCACCCGATCTCAACCCAGTCTACCTTCCTATATATAGGTCTGTTACAGAATACTAAGGAGAATGTGGAAGGAACAGAATTGTTGATGAAGAGGGAACATGGGCATCTGCCCATGTGCAATTCATTAGAGAAGTATCTGTATGTAGCGAATAGGCCCTCCCATGCTGCACTTCCCTTTGAGAAAAAACGCACTCTCATTGAGGCGAAGATCATTTTGTGCTACTACACTACCATTTTATAGCACACCGAAGTAAAGAGAGGGGCGGAGTCAGAAGTTGATGTTGAGGGAGAACCATTGTTTGAACTTTTCTGTGCGCTAAAAATGAATTTTTTGAAAATCACTTGTGAGTAAGATTAATTCTTAAATTTATGGTAACTGAAA